AATCCGATTTCCAGGTGTCACAGCAAATGGGCTCATGGCCAAAGACAGCTACAGAGCTTCCCGTAAACAGGTTTTCTCAGTGCACAAGCAGAAATCCCCTACAGAGGCTGTGTGCATGGTACAGTGTGCCAGCAGCTCACCCACCATGTGGGCACTGTCAAGAGTGAAGACCAGGGCTCCCATTTTGAATCTTCACAGGTGCACAGGGATGAGGATTGTTCCTCCTTGGAATGGTGACTCACCACTGTTCCAGTGCCACCTGCACTGATGTCCCTTAAGTTAGGCTACTTCAGCCCTGATATGTACCATGTGGGAAGTTGAGAGCACTGAGGTTTTGCAGCCCAGGGAAGGAATGATGAAGGAGATCTCAGCATTGTTAGCAGCTGCCTTCTAGGGGTTTGGAGAGATTGCAGAGCCATGGTCTTCTTTGAGGGATCCAGGGTCAGGACAAGATGCAAAGGCACCAGTTGCACTCAGATAAATTCCCATTTACAGTAGGAAAAATATTTCCCAACGGGGCAACAAATCCTGGAGCAGAGTCTCCATGCCTCCACGTTCTCCCTTGCTCAAGGCTTGGCCTGTCCCTTGCACTTTGGTGGAGATCACTGTACAGGCCCCTTCCATGTGGACAAATACCTACCTGGATACAAGACACAGAGATGGGACACAGGAACCTCAGTGTGCCCCTCTGCTCCTCTCAGCAGTAGGAGATATCCAGCTCTGCTCCTTCCCCACTCCATGGAAAGAAGCAAGAGGAGACTCCAGCCATGCCACCGGACAAAGTGCTACATCCCTGCACTTGCACTGACACCACCTCATGTATGGGGTGCTCTCCTCCATCAGATGAGCATTGCCTCTGGCCCCTCCTGTGCCCCAGCAAGTCAGCACTGCAGCAAAGGGATTAGGTATGGGCTAGTGGCCAGGATGAGTAGCACCAACAGGATGTGTCATTTAACTTCAGTCAGCATCTGCCTTCTCCTAACACTCACAAGCCAGTAGAGGGGGAATTTAGGTAGTAGAGGATTAGCGTCACTCATCAGCTCCAGCCTCCCTGCAGGTCTGGGGATGCAGGCTGGCTCTGGGACCTGGGATCCACTTAATTTCCCAGGAACACTGTGAAAGAGATACAACAGCAGGGAGGATGAGAGCTCCTAGTTGCTGGTGGCCACACCTCTAGGAGCAACTGTTCCTAACCCAGCGCCAGCTCCTCACTGGGGGTTGGTCTGAGAGTATGGAGCTCCCTGCAAAGAGGGAGTCCCACTAGTGGAGCCCTGACCCGCTGGCAAGGAGTGCTGGGGGCCTGACATCAATCCTCTCCTCCTTGCACATTTGGTGGGCTTGGCAGATCCTGGAGCATGCCCAAGGGCTGTCAAGGGGCACTAGGGATCCAGTGCTGTGGGACTCCCCTCTAGGCACTGCTGGATCCTGATCCTCATGGCAAGCAGAAGGGTGCCCAGCCACTTTCTTGACCCAAGGGGCTCCAATCTGCTGCTGGTTTCCAATGGCTGTACATCAAAAGGAGCATGTTGTATTAGGAATATATCCTTCTGTGGGTAAACCTCTTAACCACCTCCGGCTGCAGAGGACCCCTTGCCCTCGAGCCACCCACAGCCTCTGCCAACACATGGGCAAGAAAGCAAGGGTCTGTCACCTCCTGGCAACTGTCTGAGAGCTAAGTGGGTGAAAGCACAGCTGCTCCAGATGCCTCTGCTTCCCACAGGGAGCACCAGAGAGTGAGGAAAGGGGCTTTCCATGCACATTGTGAAAGGGGAATGCGTCGGGTTTCCCCCCTCTACCGGGGTCAGTGGAATTTCTAAGAAGAGAATGATCACCCCTGAAGCACATCCCTGTGGCATGCAGGGAGGTCACCCCGTGCCCCATATAGTGATGAGCCTCGGGGATCAGAAGAGACAATGCAGAAGGGGAAGAGCAGATGTTTTGGGGTCCAGGGTCCCCACAGGCACACATGGGCAGGGGATTTGGTGCAAGTTGGGATGAGGGAAGAGCATTGTGTGTGCTGACCCATTTAAGCTTCATCCAGAGCAATTAGGGAGCAGTGGAGCTCCAGCCCTGAGTATACTACAGGCAACATGAAGCATCCATGAGCACTTACCCTTGCAAAAAAACTCGATAATGCAGTTGTTAATTAAAGTGGAAACTTGCATTGGAGGGGATGTATGATCCCCATGTGAAATCCAACCATCAAATGTAAACAGACCATGTGAGTATCACCTCCATCCCTAGGCTCTCCTCAGAGAGCACCAGCCATGCCACTACACTTCTGGAAACCTGCCAGCCAGCTACAGGAACCCCCAAGGACAGCTGTTACCCAGGGTGTCTGGAGGTGGTCTGCTTTCCACCTCCGAGCTATGGAGCTGGAAAGGGCAAAGGGGGAATTTCAGTAAATTCCAGGCACAGCCAGTCCCTGGGGCAGGATCTGGCCTGGCTGCATTCACCTTATTGGGAAATACTGGGCAGGCATTGCAGCTTCTTCAATTTCCCTTGCAACACCCGGCTCGATGCTGCCTCACACATTGCTCCCACCACATTCCCAGTCCTGGTGCAGTGCAGGGACTGGGGACACAGCCAGCCTATGGGGCTTGAGGCTCCACTGGATCTCCTCTAGCTGAGTCAACCCAGTCAATCTGATTTAAATGGAATTAAGAGAGGAAAAAGGGCAAGTCATGCCTTTGCCCAGAGAGAGCAAAGGCAGTCCTGAGGATGTGGTGAAGAGAGATTCATAAGGTGCTAATTCCTGCTCTGCCCCTAACACTCATTGACTTCAGTGACATTGATGTTGAGGTCACCATGAGTGACAAGCAGTAAAGCCAAGACCCTTCAGCTGTGTCCTGCTTGACATCTCCTGGTGAGCACCCATCTCCCAGGGTCCCTCCAATGCATGTGCCCTTCAGCATCACCTTTGGACTGCACAGTTTCCCAGTTAGGTTCTTCCTGCAAATGTACTCAGGGATGCTGTGATCGCAATGAGATGGCAGTGGCCAGGTGGGATGCTTCCAGCCCTGTCTCCCTGCCATCATGCCCACCTGTCCTCTCTGCAACCTCTCCAGGGATTTCAGGAGGGGATGGCTAGGGAATAGCTTGAAGACCTGTACAAAAAGCAGCCCATCAGCAATTTCCATTCCATCTCCTGTGTGGCTAGGTAGAAAGGATGGCCAGCGTGGAAGCACAGCACACTCACCAGTTGACAGATCTACGAGCACAGGGGACAGAATAAAACCTTGGGGGCTGCTGTCCCTCACTGCTCTGTTGGCCCTTAGACTGAAATCTGGCAGAGGAGATTGTGGGGTTCTTGGTTTATTGCAGCTTTGGGGCATGGCTCATGTTGGGCCCACCACAGGACATCCCCAGAAAAGAGCAGATGCTGTTCCACAGCACCCTGGAGACCTGCAGCCCAGGTGCAGGACTGCAATGCCCAGCAGGATGGGAGGGAAGTGGAGGCACCTAGGGCTCCGGGAAAGTGGCAGGAGGACTGGCAGCATAAGACACCCCAAAGCCAAGGGCCTTCAGACAGCAAAACAGAGAATGGGAGATCGAAGGCACTTGGGAGCTACATGTAGGTAATGAAAGAGTTGAGAGGAGGCTCTGGGCTGTGCTTTCAAGGATGTGATGGGTGCCAAGAGATGAGCAGGACTGGGAAATATGTTGGGGCAGGAAGAGTGAGAGTCCCTGTTGCCCACCAGCCACTTTGGCGCCTCCTCTCTGCTCTCAAGGCCATGGCAGATCCCAGGAGGGCAGTGTTGGTGGAGAGACCATCAAAAACCACCTTGAAGCTTTGCTTGGAAACCGCAGCCCCTCTAGCACCCATGCAGTCCCAAAATCAGCTCTTAGCCTCGCAGGACTGCTGCAGCATAACCTGCTCCTGCTTCTGGAAAGGGTCATGGGATGGAGAGATGGAGCTGCTGTGCCTATCTCCAGGTAAGGCTTGCTGGAACTCAGCCCAGCATGGCAGTCCAGCACACTTCACTGCTGGCACAAGCCCGGATCACCGTCTGTGCTGGCTAATGACTTGAGCTAATCATTTGGCCTCCGTTCAAGACTTTCTTGGCTGCACTTTGTTTTCTGTCTCGCCTGGCTACTTTCTCCCATCACTGAAGCCTTTCTGCTCCAGGGTGGACGAGCCTTCCCACTTTTTTGCTCCGTCTGACATTGTTGCAACTTTGTTTACTTCCCTGCAGACTTATTCTATGACTAGGTGTCCACCCACTGCCACGGGGACATGCTGCATCAATACGGCCTTGTCTTTGCACATGGGGCAAAGCAGCAGTTTTGCCCTGCTCAGGGGTATAACTATGTGAATCCTTCTCTGTTGCTTCACTGCAGGATCTTCCTCACATCTCTTGTCCCAGCTAGGGTCTGTGGATTCAGCTCCTCCTTGGAGAAGGGATTTTGAGCCCTGCTAAGTGCTCCAGATCTCAGCTCATTGCCTTGCACAGGGAATCTCCTTGGAGGTGTTTCCCTGGTGCCATCTTCTCACTGTGGCAGCACTGTAGGCAGCATCTGCCTTATGAGCAAGAGGCTCCCGATAACCCTGCCACCTTAGTTTCCTTGAAAGCAGCTTTCTGCATTAAAGCTAGAAGGGGTGTGCAAACACTTGTGCATGTGCAGGCAGGGACACACATGGGGCTGTGCTTGCGCAGCCGCATCCCCACTCCTGTATGCATTCCTGAGCAGGTATCTGTGCCTGAGCATAGGACAAACTCCAGCACTCTTCCACAAACTCTGCTTTAAGGGTAAATTTTAGGGTAAATTATACCACCCCCATGGGTGTGTCTTTTTAATCAGTTTTAGCCTAATGTCCACCTAGCATTTACTGGGGAAAAAAACCCACAACCATGCGGAGATTACATCCTCGGCCACAGAAACACTAGAACACCTTTCACACACTGACTTGCTCCTGCCATCTGCTCGTGCTTAGCTGTTTGCGGTTGCAGACATATTCCACTGGACCTCCTTTCTCGGGATTTTTTGCAATTGTTTCACAATCCCCTGACACCGTGACTGGCACAAGGCATCCATCAGAAGCCGGGGCCAGCCTCACAGGGCTGGATGCAGTGCTTCCCCAGCAAACGCAGCCCTGCCTCCAGCCCTCCCACAGCATCCCTGTCTGGCTCCTCGGACATGGATGTCAGTTCCCAGGCTCCCTGCAAAGCCAAGGCCGGAACACAGACCCATTAATAACTTGGTTTATTGCTGTTTTCCCAAAGCAGACAGGAGCACAGGGCCCCTGCTTTGAACAAGCTGTGTGTGTCCCGGAAGGGTCAGAGCTGCAGGGACAGGTTTGGCCGTGAACAAAGATGCTGTGTAAAAACTGTGTTGTGCCCCATGTTTTCTGGCACCTCAGAACCCCTCAGTGGGGAGAGATGAGCAACCAGGATGTATTCACCTTGCTGGGCAACAGAGCTGCAAGAGAGGGAACTTTCATTGTCCCCCTCCCCTGTGCCAGCTCTCAGCCTGCTCACCCCAGGGATGCATTGCACAACGGAGCCAGGACTTAGGGGATGATGGTGTGTGGGGCAGGACAGCACCCCCCAGTGTAGCCCTTCCCACCCCACCAAATCCCATCACAACAGCCAGAAGAAGTGAGTTTGGTTCTAAAGAATACATTTTATTGCTGTGCATTCTGTCCAAAAGCTGGTTTGGCAGACAGCTGCGTGCTCCCACATGTAGGAGAAGGCAGCATGGAGACAATTCAGTGCCTATCCCGTACTCAGGGCCCCTATCTTGAACTTCACAGTTACTTTACACAGCTTTAAAATAATAGACCTAAATGCCTGCCTCCTAATAAAGCAATCAAGCCAGATAAACATGCTTGATAGAAACACTTAGCAACAAGCTTTACTCCAGCCAACACACAGCCCTTGCTGATACTGTTAAGCTTTGCAAATCCTATTATTGCATTTATATGACTTAATAGACCTTTACTGACCAAAGTCCATGTCTGGAGTCTCTGCAGCAGATAGTACTGTGGCTGTGGTACTACCCTTCAACTTGCTCCCTCTCAGCATACTAGGGTGGGGGGTTGCAAGCACAGGGAAATGCCATTTGCCCTCCAACCCTGTCTCAGCAGTCCATCCCCTTCTACTTACAGTCTCACCTTATGATGTCCTCTGGTTAGTTACTTCTCTTACTAAAGATTTGGGGTAGAGCTACTCTCAAATGGCTGCAGGGTGGCTGCAACAAATTTTGCAAAATTTTATATTCCCCCACCTTTACAGCCTCACATGCAGTTTTCACCATGTGGGCTTTTCAGTTTTGGTAAGAAAGTATACAAGAGTTTCTGGCTTCTCCCCTCCCCCCAAAACTAAGCATTTGGTTTAGTAATGTCTGATTCCCTGACACAAGCAAAACCAGGGGAGATAAAAGGGTAAAAGTCCACTAAAATGGACAATTTCTTCTGATTTCATTGCAATTTTGTAACCAGGGGAGATAAAAGGGTATGATTCCACTAAAATGGACAATTTGTTCTGATTTCATTGCAATTTTGTACCTAAAAAAAAGAAAATAAAAAACCAAAGGGACAAATTGGGAGTATCTTTCTTCAAACTACACTGCAACAGTGCACTATAAAAGCTGAAGAGAAAGACTAGAGCAGCTCAGACATACAGCCACACTGTCACCCCCTGAACTTTCCATCTCAGCTGCTACTGATTGCCCTGCAAGGAAGCACCCAGCAAGTGGCTTGAGCAGGACCATGGGACTTGGGACCTGCCTGACACCCCACAGCCCTGGAAGCTGAAAAGGAGCAAGCTAGTGAGAGGAAATAAGATAAAGCCATCATTTTTTTTTGGTAGAAAAAGAAGAGCAATCTCCCAGAAAAGCCAACCTGCTGCAAAAAGTGTACTCTATGAAGCACAAGTAGCCAGATGTAAAGCCTTTCAGGAAGTCTGAATGAAAGCACAGTTTTCAAATATAAATACAAATGTATAAAATCCCCCCAAAAAAGTGGTAGAAAAAGCTGCAACAGAAATCCCCTTCAGTGGGAAGGCTGTCCACTTCCCCTTTCAGGGTGTGGCTCAGCTACCACAGGAGTCCAGGTCCTCAGTGGTGTGGCCATGGGGCAAGCAAGGACCTGGATGTCTCCTTTGCTCAGAGCACCCAGCCAGAGCAGTGTGGGGTCTCTGTCAGGCACATCAGTGCTAAGGAGGTTGTGAGGCAGAGGGAAGCCCCCATGGCCAGCCCCATCCTTGCCCTGGGGCGAGTGTGTGGGTGAGTGGTCTGCAGATTCCATTGCCAGGCCGTGGGTCGGTCATCATTGGGAAGGCATCTGTCCTAGGGAAGGCAAGGAGGAGATGATGAGATGGAGAGGGTCTCAGCCAGAGCACCCGTCCCTGCTGGGGCCATTTACTTGTGTGACATGCCTTGCCCATCTCCAAGCATTGCCTTGTCCCAGCACCTCCAGAAACAAATCTGATTTCAAGGCAAGCACAGACCAGGAGGGAGCCATGCCCTTAGTGCCTCCATGCTATAGCCATGGATCTGACAACTCTCGGACTTGGCACCAAGAGATAAACTTTCTCCCATGTAGAAGAATCTGGAATGAGGTGCAGCACCCTCACCCCATCACACTGCAGCTGCCTGTCCTCCATCACCTACCTCTTCAGGTCTGACTTAGACCTGCTGCTGCTCCTGCTGCTTGAGTCTGCCCCTGTCCTTGGCCTTCTTGTTCAGGAAATGCACCAGCTTCCGGACAGCAGGGTTGTCGGGAGAGGCGCAGATTTTCCTGTTCTTTTTGGTGGTGAACCTGGGGGTGCAGCAGAAAGGTTTGCTGGGGGGTGAGCAGCAGGAGGACATGGAGCAGGAGGGTTTGTCAGGACCCAGCTGCTCATGGTGGTCCTGACTGCTACAGTGTACTCACACTATAGCATTCAGCAAACATCCCGTCTCAGGTCCCTGGCGGCTGTAGGATACCACCACTCTACTGGGGATGGGTTTCTGGCTGTGCTTCAGGCAGCAGTCCGAGGCCGAGCTTCCAATGCCTGTGAGCAAGGAGGGGATGTGGGATTTTGGAACCTCAAAGAATCAGGACACCTTCAGCACAGCACAGCCAGCTGACAACACAGGGCTGTCTCGGTGTCACTTGTGGGAGAGGCTCTGGGCAGCATATGAGAATAGGAGGTCTCAACTGCAGTGCACAGTTACAGGTCAGACCCTGCCCCAGGAATAGGAGATACCATATCGGAAGGTGGTAGAGGGGAAACTGAGGCAGATATGAGCTACTTGAAAAGATACCAAATCTCATTCTCATGTCTGCATTTTTCAGCTTTGGGTGCTGCTTCCACACCAGCCACATGTACCCACACACTCTCCCAAGATGAGCAAGCACTGCAAGCCAATGCCACAGGCACACACATACACACTCTGCTACCCCTACAAACACCTCTACACACAACTGCAAACTCCACACCCAAATGCATTGCAAACGTGCCCCACACCATCCAGCACCCTGCTCAGATCTCACCAAGCACCCACACCCCCTGCACCATCATACCAGGAGTAGGCAGTAGGAGGGCTGTGCAACCCTCACCTTGAGACTGGATGATGAGGAGGGTGGCCCAGCCAGCAGCAAAAGTGGCAGGAGGAGACGCAGAGCCATGGTGGTGCCACGAGTGCTGAGCAGGGCAAGGCTGTGGAGTAGGACTTGCACTGCTGTCTCCTGCTGAGCCTGCTCCTATTTATCTCTGACTATTTTGCTTTCATTTTCGTCCAGCCTGGCAGGCAGCCCGCCAGCCGGCCAGGGACTGGATGATGGAGAAGTAGGGGGTGGGGGATTCCTGAAAGAAGTGAGCCCCCCTTTACAGACACGTCCTGTCTTGTTCCCAGCTGCCTATCACAGTGTGAGGTGCCAGGTGGGGGACATACTGGAGACATAGCTCCCATCACATCTAGATGAGTTTGTGGGCTCCAGTTTCCTACCCAGTCTCATAACCTGTTGCTACCTGCTCTTGGAGGGTCAGGTGTCGCTGCCTGCCTGATTATTCCCAGGACAGGGACCATGGCTCATTGCCAAACCATTAAAGAAACCAAGGAGGCAATCTGTTTTGCTCCTCTACCTCATGCTTTGCTTTCAAGCCAAACCACACACACAAATAGGTAAGAAGGGACTCAGGGTGATCGTACATCCCAGACCCCTGAGCCCCCATCCCCATCCAGCTCTCTCAAGGACCTCCCCAAACAGCTGAACACATCTGTAAGGCTGAGGTGAGCAAGGGCCAGACTGCAATGGGGCTGGAGGAAATATCACCCCCCACCATACTTTGCTGGTGACACCAAATTGTGGGGAGCTGAGAATGAGTGGGAATCTCAGCCAGCTGGAGGAATGAGCTGATGAGAACCTCCTGAGGTGTAACACAGACAAGATATGAAGTTCCACAGACAGAATGACATGACCCTGTGAGGCTGCATAGGTTGGAAATAGCTGGTCTGGTGGGGGCTATGTAGAAGTGGGCCCCTATGTACAACTGGAGAGCTGAACAGGATCCTGCAGGGATTCCCTGTGATGGCAAAGACCACACAAAAAGACAACCATGTGGCTGGAGCAAGCCCTGAGCAACCCAGTGTGACACCAGTCCTACAGTGGGGAAAAGACAGACACCTCCATGCTTTCAGATGACAGCCAGAGCATGGTCTGCAAGAGACCAGGGTGAAGGTTTCACAAGCATTTTGGGTAACCTGTTCCTGTGGTTGTAATGCTCTGAAGTCGAAAACATTTTCCTTACCATTAAATTGGCTTTTCCTTTGATGATTCCGATGCCATTGCCATTCACCTTTGAGAAGAGCTAGGACCTGGCATCACTCCAGCCCCTCGAGCAACCTCCACCAGCAAGAATCCCCCTTTGCCATCCCATTCCCACCTTCACCACCCACAGCTAAAAGCCCCTCTTCATCCGCCATGGCATCCAGCTCCTTGGCCAGCTCCTGTCCCTTGTGCCAGCTGTGTCCTGGCGGTCCTTCCCAGGCTCCACTGCATGTGAGCTGGGTTACAACGCCAGGACTTTCCACTGGTACCTGATAATGACCCTCATAAACAGTCATCAAGGGCAATGAATAACCCAGGGAGACCAAAGTCCTGCTGTAGAAAGCAGCTGTGATAAGATGCCCACACTCTTGCCCCTCTCAGAAGGGCGGGGGCAATGCTGGAGTCATAGCAGGGGGGCTCACCAACAATGGCCCTGAAGCCCTCTCTTGGGCAAGGACACCAGCAAGCTTCCTTTCTCCAGAAGAAGTTGGCAGAGTATCAGATCCAGGGCTGCATTCCTGGGGCTCTCTCCACCATTCATGCAGGAGAGAAAGGGTGCTACCATTCTCGGGGGTACCCAAGCGCCCAGGAACCAGATAGGTGGAAGCACCTCCCCACAGATTGTGCAGCACAAAGGTTGGTGTGGACTTGGGCAGCAGACTCTGGGGCATACAGCAGGCATTGGACATGGGCAGCAGCAGGTTGTCTATGGGAGCATCTCCCCAGGGTGCCTGGCAGCACAAGGAATGGGTCCCTGGAGGCATCCTCTGTGCTATCACACATCCCTCCAACCCCAAAGCACTGGTGGCATCAGGACAGGACAGGAAAAGGAGAGCCATGCTGGTACTTACTGCTTTTCCAGCCCTTACTTGTGCAACTTCTCCAGAGAGCACTGCCCAGGTGCTGAGCACCTGGATGAACCTCCAGCCTTGGCACAGATAGAAGACTGTCCCTGTGCTGGAGAAGCTGGGGAAGCTCTGATCCTGTAGCCATCCACCCTGATCACATCTGTCCCACAGCCTATGTGGTATCAAGACAAATGATGTGGAGGGAGTGAGAACATGTCACAGGTTTCTCCCTGGCACAGACCAGTTCACCCCAGGACTCTCTCTGCTCCCAGAGGAGCCCAGGAGCACTCTGTGGTCCCAGCATAGAGCTCAGGTCTCTCTCTTGCCCAGTCCATGTTCCAGCCACAGCAGCAGGCTGCTGGAAAGTCCCTGGCTCTCTGAGTGTTTTCAAGATACTGCAGCAGCATCCTCTGGCCGCAGGCCAGCTCTAAGCATGGTTTGAGCTGCTGAGTAGGGTCAGGGCATGTGTTTCCCTTCACAAGCATCAGCCTTTGGCAATTCTCTGCACCTCAAAGTAAGAGTCTGGATGAACAGACTCCTCCTCCAGTCCTTCCAGGGAAGGTGTGTTGGAGAGGACCCAGGAGGGGAAGGGGTATTTGGCCATTGCACTCATCCGGATGCCTGAGCAGCAGGGCCCCATGGAAACCAGCCTGGGTGTCCATGCCCCATGTCCCCTTATGCCTCCCTTCCCTCAGACCATCCCCCTTCACTCCTTCCGCTCCATGTGCCTTGTTCTGTCACCTGTCTCCCCACACAGGGAGAAAGAAGGGACCTTCTGGCAATGACAGAAGGGTGAGCATCCCTGCTTTGCAAAGAGGTTGCAAGACAGACCAAACTGCTGGGATATAGAGGAGCTGTCAGGGTGGGGGTGGAGGCAAGGCTTTTTGGGGCTCTTGACTACCATCAACCTCCAGGAGCTGCTCTGGCCAGGTACAATTTCTTGCATGCACCCACAAAACTCATTTCTCACCAGTTTGGGCTCCTGCTGGGCCCCAAAAAAAGCCACCAGCATTTTCCCATAGCTCAGAGGTGCAGGATGGAGGCAGACACAGGGAGGGGGATCTGACCAGGCAGGGTGTTCCTCTGAGGTGTCCCAGCTGCAGAGAACCCCTTTCTGGCCCCAAGGTATGTGTCAGACACTGTACAGAGCCATTGCAACAGGGCTTTGTACAATAGTGCCTCAAGCTACTCCCATGCTCAAGCAGCCCAAACCCAGCACTGTGCACCCCTGTGATAAAGGGACCCCCACACTGCATGAAGAGGGCAAGGCGTCCTAGGCAGAGAACGTGGTGTACAGACACAGAGTGCATGTAAACAGTGGGACCACAGCAGAGGTCATCGAACCGCCTTGCTTGTGAGCCCTTCCCAGGCAGTGAAACCATCACGGCAGCTTGTAAGCGCTTGCTCAAACCTCCATCGTTTGGAGGCGCTTCCCACGTTTGCATGCTGCACCTGAGCACCAGAGCTCCAGAGCCTGGAGTTCATCTGTGGATTACTCCTCTGACATCTAGTATCACAGTTTTCTAGCATCACAGTTTCCTAGCATCCCACCCCACAATGCCAGGAGATCCTCTCTCCCGAGCGCTCTTCTCTCCGCTCCCCCGGCCCTGTGCTGCCTGTCAGCCTGCAGAAGCCCCCGGCTCCGTGCCACTTAACCAGAGATCAGGGTCTGCTCCTCAGGCAGCTTGGGGCTGTGAGTAGAGGCTCCTTGAACTGAAGACATAAAGGGGAGCCAACCAGGGGGACTGGGAATTTCCAAATTCTTCTGGATGCTGCCTCCAAGTTAATGTCACTGCTAACAGGAACAGGGTCGCACGGCTCAGCTCAACCCGCTGACCAGCAAATTCCTTCCTGCAGAGCCTCTGATTCCCAGGACTCAGTGCAGAGGTAGTTTGCAAAGCCCAGCATGGAAAATCCCCGTGGCTGGGAAGGGGAGCGGGGCTGCCTGCCAGGCACACCGTATAGAAATGTCATATAGCTACGCTGTCCATGGGACGCGGGAAAGAATTGCTGGAAGTCGGCGGCACACGAGCCGGGCAGGCTGCCTGCTGGCTGCTGCACTGTCCCTGGTGTTCGGCGAGGCTGATGGGAAGAGCAGGATGAGCACAACATGCTGGGAAGGGCGAGGAAGCAGCTCCCTGGGAATGCGCGGGTGCTGAAGCCGGCTAGACTTGGAGAGTAGTCAGTCAAGAGAAGTTTGCCGCACACACACTCTGCCTTGCCCCAGGTGGAAATCTCGTTTCCCAAATGTGTGCGTGTGGGTCCAAGGAGTTAACCCTTTGGTTGCTAGCATGCCAGCAGAATGACTCAGGTTTGGGGCAGGACACTGCTGGAAAATGTTCAGGGACTTAGTGATTGGGCTGAGAGGGACCTCAGTGAGTCCTGCACCCTGGAACAATGTCCTTTTCCTACAGCATCCTCTGCTTGATGTATGGTGTTGCCCATAGCGCTTACTCAGACCCAAAATAAAAGGACTGAGCGGGATCTGTGTTTTTTCTCCTCATGGAATGTACGTGGCCAGCACTGCTCAACTCTCAGCCCTCCAGATTCAGGCATTACCCAACACATGGGATCCTTTGGACTTGGGCTGTTGTGAGTGTACACATTTGTCACTACATTACCAGAAAATATAGGGATGATAACTCAGACCCTGTCCCTCTGTGACATAGCAAAGTCCTCCATTGGGTGGCCAAGGATCATGGTAGAAAGGGGACATGGCAAGGCTCTCCTGCCCTTGGCAGATAGCGGGAGATGCCATAAGGAGCAGCAGTTAAACAGTTTTTTGCACAGCCCTCCAAAAACTGCCCCTCTCAGCTAGTCCTCAGTCCTTCCATCGACCACAGGCCCAACCTTCCCTTTTCCATGGAGAAGCACATCAATACTCCATCCAGAAATCCCACAGGTCCTTGTACGACAACATAAAACTCCGTGGAAACTGCTGGCGCCAACTCAGACTTCACTGAAAGTGGAGATGTAACAAGTCATAAATCCTCTTGCAACAAAGTGAGC